GGGGAGTTTTACCAAACTTTCAAGGAAGAACTAAAACCTATCCTCCTCAGACTACTACAAAAAATTCAGGAGGAAGGAACACTTCCAAGCTCATTCTATGAAGCCAGCATCACCCTAATACCAAAACCAGGTAAAGACAACACAATGAAAGAGAATTACAGGCCAATATCCCTCATGAACATAGATGCCAAAATCCTCAACAAAATCTTAGCAAATCGGATCCAACAGTACATCAGAAGGATCATACACCATGACCAAGTAGGATTTATCCCAGGGATGCAAGGATGGTACAACATCCGTAAATCAATAAACGTAATACATCACATAAACAAATTGAAAGAAAAAAACCACATGGTCATATCAATTGATGCAGAAAAAGCATTCGACAAAATCCAACACCCATTTTTGATAAAAACTCTCAGCAAGGTGGGAATAGAAGGATCATACCTCAACATAATAAAAGCCATATATGACAGGCCCACAGCCAACATCATACTCAATGGACAAAAACTAACACCATTTCCCCTAAGAACAGGAACAAGACAGGGATGCCCACTCTCGCCACTCCTCTTTAACATAGTCCTGGAAGTATTAGCCATTGCAATTAGACAAGAAGAAGAAATAAAAGGCATCCAAATTGGAAAAGAGGAAGTAAAACTGTCCTTATTTGCAGACGACATGATATTATACATACAAAACCCTAGAGACTCCATCAAAAAGCTACTAGACTTAATACATGAATTTGGCAATGTAGCAGGATACAAAATTAACCCCAAGAAATCTGAGGCATTTCTATACACCAATAGTGAACTTTCAGAAAGAGAGATTATAAAAACAATCCCATTTACCATCGCACCAAAAAAATTAAGCTACCTAGGAATAAACTTAACTAAAGAGGTAAAAGACCTCTACTCAGAAAACTACAGGACGTTGAAAAAAGAGATAGAGGAAGACATAAAGAGATGGAAGAACATACCATGTTCTTGGATTGGTAGAATCAACATCATTAAAATGTCCATACTACCCAAAGCAATCTATAAATTCAACGCACTTCCCATTAAAATACCAATGGCCTACTTCAAAGATCTAGAACGAACTCTCCAAAAATTCATCTGGAATAAAAAAAGACCCCGAATAGCTGCAGCGATCCTGAGAAAGAACAAAGTAGGTGGGATCTCAATGCCGGATATCAAGCTGTATTACAAAGCCACTGTTCTCAAAACTGCCTGGTACTGGCACAAGAACAGATATATAGATCAGTGGAATAGAATAGAGAGTCCAGAAATTAGCCCGAACCAATATGCTCAATTAATATTTGACAAAGGAGGCAAGAACATACAATGGAGCCAAGATAGTCTCTTCAATAAGTGGTGTTGGGAAAATTGGACAGATATATGCAAGAAAATGAAACTAGACCACCAACTTACACCATACACAAAAATAAACTCAAAATGGATAAAGGACTTAAATGTACGACAGGAAACCATAAAAATTCTAGAAGAATTCAAAGGCAACAAAATCTCAGACATATGCCGAAGCAATTTCTTCACTGATACAGCTCCTAGGGCAGTTGAAACTAAAGAGAAAATGAACAAATGGGACTACATCAAAATAAAAAGCTTCTGCACAGCAAAAGAAACCATCAACAAAACAACAAGAAAACCCACTGCGTGGGAAAACATATTTGCCAACGTCATATCTGATAAGGGCCTAATCTCCAAAATTTATAGGGAACTCATACAACTTAACAAAAAGAAGATAAACAATCCAATCAAAAAATGGGCAAAGGATCTAAATAGACACCTTTCAAAAGAGGACATTCAGAAAGCCAAGAGACATATGAAAACATGCTCAAAGTCACTAATCATCCGAGAGATGCAAATCAAAACAACAATGAGGTACCATCTCACACCTGTCAGACTGGCTATCATCAACAAATCAACAAACGACAAGTGCTGGAGAGGATGTGGAGAAAAAGGAACACTTGTGCACTGCTGGTGGGAATGCAGACTGGTGCAGCCACTATGGAAGACAGTATGGAGTTTCCTCAAAAAACAAAACATGGAACTCCCATTTGACCCTGTGATCCCACTTCTAGGAATATATCCCAAGAAACCAGAAACACCAATCAGAAAGGATCTATGCACCCCTATGTTCATAGCAGCACAATTCACCATAGCTAAGATTTGGAAACAGCCTAAGTGCCCATCAGTAGATGAATGGATTAGAAAACTGTGGTACATCTACACGATGGAATACTATGCTGCTGTAAAAAAGAAGGAACTCTTACCATTTGCAACAGCATGGATGGAACTGGAGAGCATTATGCTAAGTGAAATAAGCCAGTCAATGAAGGAAAAATACCACATGATCTCACTCATTCATGGATAATAAAGACCATTACAAACTTTTGAACAATAATAGATACAGAGGCAGAGCTGCCTCAAACTGATTGTCAAACTGCAGTGGGAAGGCCAGAGAGGGTTAGGGGGCAGAAGGGAGGGGAGTAAGAGATCAACCAAAGGACTTGTATGCATGTATATAAGCATAACTAATGGACATAAGACACTGGGGGGTAAGGGAGGGCAGGGGATTGTCAAGGGCGGGGCGGGGAGGACACATATGTAATACCCTTTGTAATACTACTTATTATATTTTTTTTAAAAAGAATAATAAAAAAAAAAAAGAAAACCCGGAGCCCAGCACTCAGGAAGGCAAGCACATGGCACCCACAGTCTCACAGAAAAGCGGCCCAGAGGGAAGCATGCCAGTCTTCCCCAAACACGTTGGACAACACATACAAGAACCACCTGTGGATTATATGTGGCTACCAAGGTGTTTGTTCATCACAAATAGCTCTGTCATCTAAAGACAACTCCAGGAACCGTAGCCATGACCTTCCAGGCTGCTTCCTGCCTTTCAGAGTAACAGGTGACCTTTCAGACTTACTTTCTGTGTCCATTTCAGTAAACACCTTATTTTCCTTATTTGAGTTTTTCAATTGCTAACCAATTGGGAAATAGAGTAATTTTTTTATTCACTTAATAATTAGTCCTAACCTTACTGAATTCATCTGGTCCTCAGAGTGTCAACGACTCCATTGTTTCCAGTTTCAAGCATGACAGTGACCACAAGGCCAGATTAAAATATGCAATTAGAATGAATTTTAAAATTCTTACGTCAAAAAACAGCTTACGCAATATTAAAGGATAATTGGGAGGAAAATGTTTGCAATTAACCTGATAGACAACTAATTACGTAAAATAAAAACACTGCAAAAATAAGCAAAGAGAACACAGGTAGGCAATTTACTAAAAAATATGAATGACCTATAAGTGTGCCTTGTAAATGTCCACCTGCACTAGTAACTAAGGAAATAGAAATTTAAGGGGAAATGTTTCCTCTATTCAATTGGTAGGTTTGTTTTCACTAACAACCAAACTTGGTAAAGACACACTCTGGGAACACAGACGCTTGCATACTGGCCAGGATGAAGCTGCCTGAAAAATTCATACAGTTTTTTCTGAAGAAGAAAGGGGAAATCTCTTTTTAAATACTTGTAAAGTATGCTTACCTGGAAAGTGAATTGCATAAATTTAAGGGCAAATATTTATTTATAAGGTGACAATTGTAGCTTTCTAATTAAAAACCTGGAAGAACCATGATCATAATGGCTCTAAGTGACACTGCAGCCGTGGACGGGGAAGGACACAAGGCAGCAGTGAGCACAGCAGGTGCCCTCCGCCAGTGGTCTGCTCAAATCCACAGAGAGCTGAAAGCTGCAGGCCAGTGTCCACAGTACTTCCACCATATAGGATTGTGAAGAAGAGTGATTTTCTTCCCTATAAATGTTGTTTTCCAAATTTTCTACAGTAAACATGTATTTCTTTAAACACATACAAAGGAGTAAGAGAAAGGGTATATGTATAAACTCCAGGTGAATTAAACAGTTAAATGCAAACAAAACCATTTTTTTAAATTTATTTAATCCTCACCGAGGATATATTTATTGATTTGGGGGGAGGGGGGGGAGAGAAACATCAATGTGAGAGAGAAATATCAATCAATTGCCTCCTGTACACACCCCGATCGGGAATCAAACCCACAACCCTTTAGCTGTACAGGACAACACTCCAACAGAGAAAAAGGAAGTATTTGTCACATCTTAGGAAGCGAAGGGATCTTCTAAACACAAAAACCATTAGAGAAACCAAAGGAAGAAAAAGACTGTACAACATAAAAATGTAAAACTTATATAAATCAAAAAAACAAATAAAATTCAAAAGCAAAATAACTAGAAAAACCTATCTATAAAAATCGGATAAAAAGCTGTGTTTGACACATAAAGAGATCACATAGTTCAATATAGAAAAAAAGGAGGAGCAAGGGACTATGCAACATATAAAAATATACACATTAAACCTTTTTAGATATACAGTATATTACAAATTAAAATGCCCTACCTCACTAAAAATTTCTAGAAAATGGCAGAGCTAAGATTAGAATGCAGATCTCTTTGGCTTCAAAGTAATATACCATGTTGCCTATGATAACTCATTATTTTATTAAAAACCACATCAACTTTAAAGTTTGTACTTGATAAAAGAGTTTCCCCTTCTACCACACATTTTGAAATGGCTAGAGAAACAGCAAATAAATACAATGGAAACGGCTCCTTTTTCAGGTTTTCAATGGAGGTTGAGTTCTTCTGGCATGTTCAGATAAAACCAAAATTCTCTTGCTAAATATTTAAATTAAAATGTACTTATCAGAATCCTGGTCAGTATTAAAACTACTCCTTGAGTAAGTAAAACAGAGAAGCCTTTCACAACTAACAGGAAAAGGGAGGTGAATAAAATCTGGTTTTCTGATTTTATTAAGGACTCAAGTGATTTATCAAAGAAAGACGCAAATTATGAAGAAACTATGAAAAGGAAAATCTAAAAATACAGTGCAGTACAAAATTAAAACATTAATGGTGATAAGCCATACATACTAACCATGGATCAGGGAGCCATTGAGCCACTGAATATAGTAGTTGTGAGGAAAGGAAAGTAGGATTTCGTTGCTGATGATGGAGAAGGGTAAGAGCAGCACAGCCCCAGCAGACACTGCGAGTGTGAACGTGCACAGAAACAACCTGGAAGAGAAGAGAGGCGTGTCACCAGCGACCGGGAAGCAGGGGATGCGGCCATCATTCAAAACGAATAAAAATTCTGAAATTTTTATCTAAAAAAAATTATGGGAAAATTTCATGAAATCTATGCAACTGGAAGACAAATGACACATGTGTGATCCTACATCAACTCTAGAGCACCTCACCCTGCAGAGCTTGGTGGATCTAACGAGAAGGCCCCAGAGGACACATGTACCGAAGGCAGAGGCCTCACACACTCGCAGAGAATGAGCTGTAGGCTCCCTCCTCCTTTAAATGTGATGTTCATTTCACACTGCATTTGATTAATAGCTTTCGCAATCTATGCTAAAAGCAAGGCAACAACTATTTTAGGTGAAAAAATACCTGTGAACACAGTATGAAAAATTCGTATTTCAGGAGCAAACTTACAAAGCCACTGGTCTGCTACCCCTTAAAATGGGTAAAGTGTAAATAAATTGTACTAATCAACAGTAGGGATCATTAAACAGTATTTAAAACACTATTCTGTCATTTTAAAAAATATCTCTAATATGTACTAATTTAGAAAGGTGTCTAAAACAAGTCAGGAACACAAATTGAAGGAAAGACAGACGATAAATAGAAAGCATGCCCCTCCCCGCAAAAAAGCGCACAAATACACACAGGAAAGTAGAGGTGGAGGCCCCAGCACAGCACAGAACGAAGCCCAGGGGAGAGCAGGTTTCAAGGGGCTCACTCTCAGTCCCACGTCTGCAACGTTTAAATTTTTATAGCTATTTTTTTTAAATATATTTTATTGATTTTTTACAGAGAGGAAGGGAGAGGATAGAGAGCCAGAAACATCGATGAGAGAGAAACATCGATCAGCTGCCTCCTGCACGCCCCCCACTGGGGATGTGCCCGCAACCAAGGTACATGCCCTTGACCGGAATCAAACCCGGGACCCTTGAGTCCGCAGGCCGACGCTCTATCCACTGAGCCAAACCGGTTCTGGCATATAGCTATTTTTTAAGATTTTTTTAAGTAGCAAAGAAAACAGGAGTCTCACCAACATTAGAGAGGGAAACTTAATTTAATAGTCATCCCATTAAAGAAAATATAGGAAGAATGTGAAAATGTAAGGAAAACCATCACACAAACGCTCTAAATCCACATCTGATGGAGTAACTTTGCAGCAATGCCACCTTGTGGTGGCCCACAGAAGTGTTTCCTGCTTTGAGCCAACCCACCAGGAACCTGTTCAGTGTCACTGATGGATCTTACATGAGACCACGTGACGCACACCAAAACACCATCCAAACCAGACCCAGGAGACGACCTTGAAGGCTCTGCTAACGGGACGTGTCTCCTGGTCAGAGCAGGAGCACAAGCCTCGCTGGGCCACTGCCCACTGCAGCAGTGATGGCGAATGGCCTTGAGCGAGGGCCGTCGGTCCTGTCCTCCAGCCAGTGAGGAAGTGTCCTGTTGGCTTCCATCGCCTCCTTCCAAAGCTGGAAATGAAATCAACCCTCAGCCGGTCACACCAGGTGCTGCACAGCCACCGAGGCTTTTCCACACCCCTCTCCGCCACCACAGTCCCAGTCAGTCACCTAACCTCCTTGTGCCCCACACGTGAGTGGGTTCTGGGGCTCCAGGCCAGGGCCACCGTCGGCTCTGTCCCCAGGGTCGCCCTATACATCCCTCAGCATTTCCCTTCCCCCACTCTTGGCTCCCATGACACTCGGACCACAGACCCAGCAATAAAGGCCAGCCACAATTTCCAAATCAAAGCCCTGACCTGTCAAAGCTTCCGCGGGCAAACAAATGGAGTATTTGAAGTCACAGAGCCCCAGGAAACCCTGATCACACGGGCACCGTGACTGGACCACAGCTCTTACCAAGACTGTGGCCCACCGCATTTCCAGTGCTGGGGTTGGCCCTGGAGACACAAAAAAGACCACAGCATCCTCCCTAACTGCCCTGGGAGCTAGGAGAGCTGCCCCTGAGAAGCCGATGGGGACCCGCCGGTGTGGCTCGGTGGTTGAGCATCAACCTATGAGCCAGGAAGCCATGGTTCGATCCCCGGTCAGGACACATGCTCAGGTTGCGGGCTCGATCCCCAGTGTCAGGCGATCAATGATTCTCTCATCATTAATGTTTTATCTCTCTCTCCCTCTCCCTTCCTCTGAAATCAATTTTTTTTTAAAAGGTGCTGGCGCGGGGTCCCTAAGGTGAGGCCCTGCCATGTAGCCAGAGTGGTGGCTGCTTATGGAACTGCAGGAAAGTGCCCTCGGAAGTGATGGACGGTTTCAGAAACGCCCCTTCTGCACGGAGGGCTCTGTGGACAGAACCGCAGTACCTGTGTGGGACGAGAGGGGTCAAGAACCACTCCTGGGTTTTAGCCTGAGGATGTGGACAGTCGCACTAATCAGCCACGATGGAGGAGGCTGCAGCGGAGGAACAAGGAGTTCAGCTGGGACACTTGCAGGCCGCCATGTCCATGAGACGACTGTCACAACAATCTCTGGACTTCTCACGGCAGGCCCTCCGATGGCCTTGACTCTCTGCCTGCCCCATACTGGTCACGTCCTCTCATCACTGCTCAAGGTGGTGTCTGCCAGGACCCTCCAAGCTAAAGCTACTCCTCCCTTTCATCATAAGCACTGTGTGGGAAGCTAAGGAAACCAAGAACATGTCCTGTTCCTGGTCAAACAACTTAACCCTTTGGTGACAGCCATGGGCACTCAGGCGCTAACCCATCTGTGCAGGCTCCGTCACACCCATTACTGTGATGATCAGACTCCCTGGTTTGGCGAGAAAGCCCTTGAAGGCCGAGTCTTTCTGACATGCGCCCTCATCCTCTGGCACGTCCCTGCGCCCCACAGGACAAGGTACACGGAAGCCCTGCAGCCAGTGCTTCCCGGGGCCCTGCTCCTGTACTCAGAGGCACTCGCTGCTCTTGGGTGCTGCGCTCCCAGGCCCAGTGGCAGGCCAGCCCAGGGTGCACTGGCGCTGTGTACATGCACGCACCCACACGCACATCTGCAGTGACCCAGTAACTCTCTGTACTGAAAACCATGAGTCCACAGTGATACCCCCAACTCCATTGCGACAACTCAGTGTTCCCTTTCGTTGTCCCCCTCTCCCCGACTGGGACTGGTTCCCATCATCTCTAATCGACCGGTCCCACATCTGCGATCAGTCTCCCATCACACTGACACCCACCCCATGCAGAGGTGCCTGCTGCTCAGGTGACCCCCCATTTTGGACCTTCCTGCCCTATGCCCCCCCACCTGAGCTGTCACACCCATGCCAGGCCATGCCTCGAGGGCTCTGCCATCCTGCACAGACACCCTCCCTACCCTGCACTGGCTCTGGCTCCCTGTGGTACAGCACCCCCAAACCATGTGGCATCCCTCCTCACCCTCAGGTGATACCCCATGCCAGGATCGCCCTCTGCAGGGAATTTTCCTCCCTGCTTTCAAACCCTTAGCCCACTCCGGCCACCCTCCAGGGTGGGACATGTGCGAGGCCCTCTCTTCACCTGCGTGGGCTCGGCATGCTCCGCACAGGCTGTTTCGCCAGTTAGGCATGCATTTTATATCAACCACTTCTATTCCAATCCAGTGACAAGCAGAGAGTCGCTGTGAGCAAGTGTAATTCTGGTTGGGGAGGGCAGAGGGAGTTAATCTGGGAGCACAAGGAGACAGACGGAGGGCAGAATGAAGGCCCTGAGGAGCAAACGACAACGTGAAAGTGGGCTCTGGAGCAAGGTGGGAGGCACAGGAGGGGTTCCGTGCTGGCAGCGCTGGAGTCACCCTGGAGCCCTCTCTGTGCAGGCGGCTAGCAGGCACCGCACTGCAGAACTCTCAGAACACTGACCACATCCACGTTTCCTGCTCAAACTCAGCCTCTCCTGTTTCACCCTCTTCAGTGCCCCCACAACTCCCTTCAGTGGGAGGAAGGAAGGCCAGGAAGAGGGTCAGGGCGCAGGGGACGACCCTGAGACCACGGCCACTGTGCAGAAGCCCGAACCTTGCTTGTGCCTGTGCTGTTTATCTGCACAGCAGCACCACACAGCAGGCGCAGGCCCAGCTCATGTGCCAAACACAAGTCTCGGCTTCTCCATCTTGCCTGGACTCAAATGAATCCGGGTTCAGAATTTGAACCCAGGTCTAGTTCTCACTCATCCCATCACAGAAGGAAGAACAGGCAGTGAGCGACAGAAAGAGCACTGGGTGAGGGGTCCAGGGGATGGACTGGGTGCCTCCCCCTCCAGGCTGCCTCCTGACTCTGCAGTGGGTGCACAGCATCTCCCTCAGGAAGGTGTCCATGTCATCACATGACACTCAGACACGCTGCGCCGCCTGGCCAAATCAGGCTGAGGGGCAGGGCCCCTCCAGAGCCACCAGGAAACTGCATATTTCCCTAAATTATACTGCAAGGGGAATGGCCAACGTGACCGGCACTAATCGATTCATAAATTATTGATCTACAAATGCATTTCAGTAATTGTACCACCAAAGTGGAACAGGGACCACGCAGAGGAGAGAAGCGCAACCTCAGTACTTCAACCTGGAGGGTTTCGTTGGACACAGTTCCTGTCCACCGGGCAGCCAGTGTGGGACCCTCTGTGGCTTTCTGAAGTGAGTGTGTTATTGTGTTTTTAGGGAGCAGGAACTGGAACAGAGAATGTTCCCAAATGTCATGGTGCTGGGACTAAAACCTAAGATCCCTAATTCTGCACATTTAAAGCATCATGTTTTGGGCCTAAGTATTAAAGCCATATAGAGAATGCACAGTATGGAGTCACAGTTGCTTTCCCTGGGTGTTTAAATAATTTAAATCCAAATCCAGTACAGCAGGATCTGTCCACACTCATTTTTCAGTAATAAATCAAATCATTTGTTAGTTGAAAGCATTGCCTTATTGAGTAAAATCAACCACTTTGATGCAAACAAGTCAGTAGATGTAGAACATTACCAGTGTTGTGCAACCAGAACATTCTCGCCACCTCAAAGTAAAACCCCAAACCCACTAAGCAGTTGCTCTCCATTCTCCTCCTCTCAGCCACTAGTAACCGCCAATCTGCTTTTGCCGAATTTACCTATTCTGGACGTTTCTCATAAATGGAATCAACACTGGTGACCTTTGGTGACTGGCTCATCTCACCCAGCATCATGTCTTAGGGGTTCGTGCATGTGGTAGCAGGTGTCTGCATTCCTCTTCATGGCCGAGTAACGCTCCTGTGTAGGGGGAAGCGTGTGCATGCGTGTGTGTGTGTGTGTGTGTGTGTGTGTGCGAGAGAGAGAGAGAGAGAGAGAGAGAGAGAGAGAGAGAGAGAGAGAACATGCTGTCTGTCTCCCTCCCCTCTCCTCTCCTCCTCCCCAGCACCTCAGCAGAAGCTGGGTAATCTGACACTAACCGTGAAGGGACAACAGACAAACCACATGACCAGCCTGAAATGTACAAATGTGTTGACAAGGTCAGGGAGTCAAAGGAAATACTGAAGTCGAGTTTCGTCTGCGGGCGACCACAGGGCCACAGCTGCTCCCTGCAGTGTGGGGTTCTGAACCAGGGACATCACGGGGACAACAGCAAACTGGAACGCAACACAGCTGGGACTGTGTCAGTGCCAACTTCGTGATGCTGGTGGCTGTGTGGCGGACTTGCAGGAGAATTCACTGTTTATAGGAATCAGATACAAAAGTATCCGCAGAAATGGAGCATCCAGTCAGCAACTTCTCCAAGGGCTCAGGGAACAAAAGTCTTTGTACTGTATCTCTAACTCTCCTACAAATTTGTGACTACTTCAAAACACTTTTAAAGTATCAATGAAAACAATCAAAAAACAGATGTTTCCTATGCAGTAGGCAAAGCTGTGGAATTTCAGTTTCATTGAGCAAACCTGATAGAAAAGAATTCACTGCTTTCCACCTAGAGTAGTTTGATTCCTCAGAAAAATTAAAGGGTATTTCTATCCTGTATCACCAGCGTCCATAGCAGAAGAGCTCTGGGCCCTGAAAGGACTACCTCCCTGCTCATAGGAGGTCTGTAACCAGACAGATGGCGCTCCCTCCTCTAAACCCGTCCAGGCTGCTCAGCAGACCATTCAGAAGCCGGGAGCTTGCTTTCTTAATGGCCCAGCAGCTTTCCCAACCTGAAGCCCATTTCCAGGCTAAATCTTCTGAAATTAAAACCTGTCGGCTTGCCCTACCTAGCTGGCTTGCTCAGTGGTTGGAGTGTCGGCCTGAGAACTGAAGGGTCCCCAGGTTCGATCCCAGTTGGAGCACGTGAGGGAGGCAACCAATCCATGTGTCTCTGTCTCCCTCCCTCCCTTCAACTAAAAATCAGTGGAAAAAAATATATATCCTTGGGTGAGGATTAACAAAAAAAATCTATCAGCTCCTTAAATAAGCTAATTTAACAGGAGATAATCAATCCTTCATTATTCATGCATACTTGCCTATGTGTGTTTTCTGAGGATAGGATTAATATTGATGAAAGTGTTGTAATACCTTAGGTAAATTTCTTCCATATTTCTGCCCAAAAGGTAGAATTAAATTTTGAGAATTTATGACTCCAGAATTATAAACAAAACAATTAAACTTTAAAATACATACGAAATCCTGTTGACTATGGCATCTTCATCTTCTTGTTCATCTGCAAAAATGTTTAAGGTATTAACATTATTTTCTCTTTCAACAAGATGTTTCATTCATTATGAAAAACAAACATATAAATTTAAAGCAGCAATTATTGAATGGAAACATTTTTAAACAGCACTGTTTTTATTTCAGCACAGATCCAAATTTAAATTTCATTAAATGAGATAGGAGAGAATATGATTAAAAGAATAGTGTTTGATTAATCAAAATCCTTATTAACAAAATAGCCACATGTAATTAAAATATCCCAAACATTCAGTGCTCAAGAAAATGAAGCTTAGTAGGCCCTTAAGACCACTATCACGCTTACTGTTATAAAATGTAAGTGAAGTTGCTAATGAATGAGATTTTCTGGTTAATAGCCAAAAAAAAAAAGTTTGCTATAAAATTAAAATTCAGAATCTCAGGACTCATGTACTTTCCTAGAATGTGAGTTTGTCATTGGCAGTAGGCCACCCTAACCCACCTGGGGTCCCACTGCACCACACTTCATCATGACTGTCCAAGGCACATACAAGAATATGTCCGCTTTGCCGGTGCTCACTCAGCCCCCATCACGGCTGCCAGCCATCTCCTCTGTCCTCCCACGTAAACTTACCAAAAAACTTTGACCCAATTATAAGGACACTGCCCCTCCCCCCCCCAATGCCTAACGGGGTTTGTCCTCAAAGGCTCTCTGCAGGCCTCTGCAATTCTGAGTGCCCACCTGCTTCCCTGCCAATGGCCCGCTTGAGCCATTCTCATAGTCCAATCTCCATTCCGAATTACAGGCTGCTCTAAATAGCTTTACAACCAAAGGGACCACAAAATAATGTAGTCACAACTGACTTTTATACTGTGGTGCCCTCTCCAATCAACCATCAAACCTTAAAGACTGCTTTTTGTCAATTACATCTCAACACTCTGCCAACTAGGTCCAGAGTCCTCATCACCTCCTCCCCATGATTACTCCAAAAGAGCATCTAATAAAACTCCACTTTTCCTGCTCATCATCTCTAATTTCCTCTAAAACACTGCTTTATATTCATTCATTAATATCGCCTGCCTCCCCCTACCCTCTCTCTCTCTTTCTCCCCCGCTCTACTTCTGTGTCCATAATCTATGAAATCTGATGTCAAAACATCTTTTAAACTAGCTAAGATACTGTCTTGGATCCCAGGTCTGCAAAATTTTGAGAGATTATGGAATCCCAGGAGTCTGTCAGTGCTGTCACAGAGCCAAGTTCTAAAGTAACATCTCAGAGCAAAGAGCAGTCCCTGACTGCTTTCAAATGTCTGACAGACAAGTGTGATAGACTAACATAATGCAAGGAATCTTTAATATATGGAATCCCCAAGTATTCATACAGCACTAGTATTAGCACAACATCACAGGCAGAAAATCCTATCATTTCTGGAAAACAGCTGAGATTTAACAGAAGGCAGTAAGGTAACTGCTTAGGTGCTTATAAAACCCTGGCACAAAAATCTGTGAATTATTAAACAGCAAAAAGTTCTTTTAAAAAAGAATAAAGATATAGTGGTCCCTCTGGCGAGACAGTATATACAGCATGTCCCAAAACATGTACACACACTGTAACAGCTGCTGGCTCAACTGATGTTTCTTTCTTTTCAGCCAGAGTAAGCTTTGAACAAAGAAAATTCATCCTAAATGCTCCTGGAAGTTTAAAAATGCAGTTGAAGTACAACACTGCCTTTATAATTATGTATAAAGTTTAAGTGTATATTATGTATACACACTTTAACAGCTGATAACTCAATTTCCACTCCTTTTCAGGTTTAACTGATTTGAAATAATATGTGAAGCCAACTAAGCTTTGAACAAAGAAAATTTATCCACTAGACTTTGTGTGGGGATACATAAAAGATAAGGTTTACAGCACAAAACCGGCAACAGTTAACGAATTGAGGGCACACAAATACCCAATGAAATGATTCTTGATGTTTGCGATTCCACTGCTTCGCGTTATCAGCAGAGCCTAGACCAGAACGGTCATCAGTTTGGAAACAGGTATTGACAAAAAAAAAAAAATTATTCATTTCTATAGATTCTTTTAAATTTTGAAAATGAACTCTATGTTAATAAACACTGACTTTATAATCATTCAAAGTGTGTATACATTTTTTGGGACACCCTATATATGAAATACTAAAAGGATATGGTGTTAGGGATACATTCTGTATGACTTTGGGGGCAGGGTTAGGCGCTCAGGCCATATAAGGCCAGCGAAATCATTCAGTGTGGCCCTGACAAGGCATTCGGAGTGAGTTAATTAAATGTCTGACCAATAAAGCAGGTTAATTTTTAAGTTGATAATTCTGTATGGCCCGCAAATGATGTTATAATCCAAAAGGCCCTTGGCAGAAAAAAGGTTCCCCACCCCTGCTTTAGAGAAAGAAAAGTATTCTGGTAGTTAGAGCAACAATGGGATGGGGCTGAGTGTGTTCAAATTCAGAGCCAGTCACAGGAACCAAATATCCCCACAAACTTGGGAATTTCCAGTGTACTAAAGGGCCCGCACTATTCTTAGTTGGGCCCTAAGAATGTGACAAACAAGGGCTAAGGCCTAAGAGGATGACCCTAGAGTAGTCAGGTTCCCTGGAGGTTATTTTTAGTGCTCTTAGTACCAGGCAACTGCTTGCTTCAGCCACGGGCATGGTGAATACAGTGCCACACGGACGGGCACTGTGGAGCCCTTGTATCGGGCCTAGACCACCAAGCATGAAAATCAAAGTTTCCATTACATGTTTTACTTGCCTGATTTCCTCTTGTATCTTGTGATGATGAAGTAGGAAACGATGTAAAGAATGGCAAAGAGAAGGAAACATATCTGAAACAGAACAAATTTAACACATCATTTACATTTTTTGCATATCTTTTTTTAAATAATAGACAATACATCCGTGGTATTTATAGAAAAAAGGGATTTATTACAAAGTGAACATTTTAAATATTTTGCTAATATTAAGTTTAGATGAAATATTAATTTATATGAACTAGTTTTAATACCATTTTCAGTGGAGATTTTTCTTTTCATAACTTGACCAAATTGTTTTCAAAATCATGTGAACATATAAAAACCAGGACATCACTGACAACTCTGAAAATAAAGTCAGGTAGAGGCTACCAGCACGCCCCCCCCCCCCCCCCCCATGTTAAAACATAACATGAAGCTCCGGTCACATAGAAAAAGTGTATGGCAGCACCAGAGAGATCAATAAAACAGTCTATTGTATGAAAATCATATAACATGTTATACACACAGAGGCATCACTAATTAATGTGACAATAATTATTAGATAAGCATACCACATATCAAAATAAACAGCAGTTAAACAAGACTTTAATACTAAATTCCATTTCATTTCTATCAGATCTGGGGCATGACAGGCCACAAGGATGGGTCCAGAAACAGATCTTGTCACAAAGACCAGGTGTGCTGGAAAGAAAGGCTCATCAGTGCAGGGACTACAGTAAAAGACTCAAGACTCTCACATCAAAACATTCAGGTGATGATGAAGTCTAGGGAGCACCCCATAGGTGGATTTCTAAGCGACGGTTGGTAGTGTGTAACTGAGAACGACCTTGGACCTGCGTGATGGACATACACTGTATAGCAAGCATGTCAAACTCGCGTCCGGCAGGCCACATGCCTCATTTAATAACCTCAGTTTAATAACCTAGGGAATGACAAACTGAGGAGGAGAGGACCACTATGAGCCTCCTGCCAAAGTTCTCCCGTTACATGCGGACAGTGACAGGAAACAATACTGACAGTGACTCAAAGGAGCAGAGTCAGGAGCATCCAGGACAGCCTGCTGCTGGGAGCCCACAGGAACCCTGGCAGGTAAGAGAAGGTACCACCATCACCACCTCCTCCCTAAGCCTCCCCAGTGTGGGAGATGGGTCAGAAAGGAGCAGCAGTTATTGGTGCAGAAATGTACACAGAAGAAGTCAGGACGTTGTCTACAATGAAAAGGAAGTCCCAGAGGCTGGAAGAGCAATGGGAGAAGTCACTGGCCAGAAACACTGTGAAATAAGAGGTCAAAGTCAGAGAGATCAAATGACAAGGGAATCTGACGGGGCTGACCAGAACTCTTTCATTCAGCAAGTACGCACTGTGGGCCACCAGACACCAGGTGCTCTCCCAAGAACTGAGAGCACAGCAGGAACACAACCGAGTTCCGCCTCACTGAGTTTCCACTCCAGTAAGAAAACAGATAATAAATACGTAAGTCCACAGAGTGTCAGATGACAACCAGTGCGGGAGGAGGGGACAGGGAGTACCAGGAGGGTGAGGGCCACCTCACTAAAAAGGTGACATCTGAGGAAAGTCATAGGAGAGGAGAGAGCAAAACATACAGAGATCTGGAGGGCTGGAGGCAAAACCCTGACCAAAGTTGATTATGAAAGAATTGGAAACAAATATAAGCAGACAGTTTTTGCCAGGAGTTTTATGATAACGGGAAGCAAAGGTGATATGAAGGAAGTGGGAAATCATGAGCAGTTTTTAAGTTGGGAAAAGTTACAATGGTTCTAGGAATATCCAGTAAAGAGAAATCACTGATGTGAGAAAAAAAAACAGACTTGCTGAAGAAATGAGCCCAAGTTGAGGGGCTAGGTATAAAATCCACCTGAAAGGAAGAGGAGGGAGAGGAGAAGCAGGAAGAGGAGGAAGAGCAGGAGACAGACATACGAGTGCTGCTGCGGGTGGGTAAGCACATGAGTGGTGGAGACCAAAATATTCTCTTTTGGTGGCTTCTGTGTTGTCAACGAAATGGAAGCAAATTCATGGAGAGTGGGAGATTAAATGGAGTAGAGAAATATACCAGACAAGAGCAGCACGGTGAGATGAAATAGCCTTTAAAGTTCCAGCCTGACTGGTTTGGCTCAGTGGATAGAGCGTCGGTCTGTGGACTGAAGGGTCCCAGGTTCGATTCCGGTCAAGGGCATGTACCTTGGTTGTAGGCACATCCTCAGTAGGGGGTGTGCAGGAGGCAGCTGATCAATGTTTCTCTCTCATCGATGTTTTTAACTCTCTATCCCTCTCCCTTCCTCTCTGTAAAAAAATCAATAAAATATATTTAAAAAAAAAATAAAAATAAAGTTCCAGGCCCACTAGTCCAGAACTCCAAGCAGCATGGGAGGCCTGGGGGCGCTGTCTGACAAGTGGTCTGGTTCCCAGAGCTGAGGCCAATGCAGGTAGACATCTGATGTCCTTTACAGCCTACACCTTCAGACTGCACTCTCCACCTCCCTCACTCTGCCAACCACCAGTGTCACCTCACACCCACTGCCCAACTCGGCATGCCCTGGCAGTGGTCAGCAGCGACCCAACAGCCCAGTTCACGAATTCACTCAACCTCCACGCAGCAACTTGCAAGCCACATGCTTCCTCCTCCTCTCCTGAGCTCCCAGGCAACATCACTGGCTCCCCCTCCTGCCAGCCTTTAAATGTCATCCTTCTCTGTGATTCCTGGGCTGAACCAGATATCGATTCTCATTCCACAAGCTCTGCATAGGTAACCTCATCTGCCCCAGGGATTTAACCACCAATGCCCAGAAATCCCTGGGCCACTGTTTGAGCAACACTGGTTTAGGCCTTAGCAAGAGTGAGTGAAATGACTGCCCATGAACCCTAAGTACATCAGAGACCAGAGAAACCAGGATGGGTGATGGATGGGAGCGGAGGTTCCCGTGGAGAAGCAGCTACAATAAAAGAACTTGAGCAACGGAGCTGGAGAAGTAGATGGTTGTGCTTAAGGGATGTTTGCGATTTTTTTTATTAGTTTCAGGAATTCTGGGGAGTTAGTGCAGAAGTGGTAGATGAGAAGGCATGAAAGTTAACCACCAAAAGGATATCAAGGCACTAAAGTGCGTGGCATGGAACGAAAAGACTAATAGAAAGCAAGTCATTCAAGGGCAGAAGCGAGATTAGCAATCACAAAAGCAAACATATTCCTCACTCGGAAATAAAAATACAACTGGAACAGAGGTCACAGGCCTGGCTGGACGGTTTCCCCAGTTCCCCTAAATGAGTGTCTTCAGCAGAGAGACAGACCCAAAAGATGCGTGAAATGCAAGCAAGATCAAAGACACCTCCTGTTCTCCGATAGCAGGTGGGACAACAGGAAATACCTAACCACGGACAGGAGGAAACTGTGACAAGGAGAGGAGGGCCCTCATGGTCTGGAGGAGACTCGGGGAAGGAAGAGCGAGGCGATGGGAGCTCACCAGCAGAAACCATACAGGGAGCTTGTCCTCTGTGCCAGCTGACCCAGAGGATGGGCTCTTCAGCCCTCTCTGGAGCCCCATTAGTCCTGATGCTAACAAGTAACCTAATAATACATTTAAAATACACTGTCGCCCTGGCTGGGTGGCTCAGTTAGGTGGGTGCCAATAGCTCAAGGACTGCAACCACCAACACATTTCTAACAAAATCATGGAAGAGAAGACAAGTGAAAGCCAATGCATACAGCTTTATTTTAAAGTTGCTAAATTAAAACAATTTGAGATATTGAGTATCCTTTTTTAAAACATCTTTCTTGTTGGGAGTATTACAGATGTTCCCCTTTTCTCCCCCATTGCCCCCCTCCACCTGGTTCCCGCCCCACCCCAGGCCTTCACCACCCTATTGTCTGTGTCCATAGGAATGCATATTATATGCATAGAAATTCTTGGTTAATCTCTTCCCGCCCCCCTCCCCCTTTCCCTTTGAGGTACATCAGTCTGCTCCATGGTTCCATGCCTCTGGTTCTATTTTATTCATCAGTCTATTTGTTCATTAGATTCTTTGTTCCTTTATTTTGATTTTTAGATTCAATTTTCAATAGATATGTATTCACTGCCATTTTATTGTTCATATTTTTTACCTTTTTCTCCTTCTTCTTCTCCTTCTTTCTCTTCTTAAAGAATACCCTTCAACATTTAATGTAATACTGGGTTGGTGGTGATGAACTCCTTTGGCTTTTTCTTGTCTGTAAAGCTCTTTATCTGACCTTCAGTTCTACATGATAGCTTTGTTGGGTAGCGTAATCTTGGTTGTAGCTTCTTGCTATCCATCACTTTGAATATTTCTTGCCACTCCTTTCTGTCCTGAAAAGTTTCTGTTGAGAAATCAGCTGAGTCATATGGGTGCTCCCTTATAGGTAACTGCTTTTCTCTTGCTGCTTTTAACATTATCTCTTTGTTTTTAACCTTTGGCATTTTAATTATGATGTGTCTTGGTGTGGGCCTCTTTGGGTTCCTCTTATGTGAGAACCTCTGTGCTTCCTGGACTTACTAGTATAAGTCTATTTCTTTCACAAGTAGGGGAAGTTTTCTGTCATTATTTCTTCAAATAGGTTTTCAATATCTTTCTCTCTCTCTTCTCCTTCTGGTACCCCCATGATGAGAATGTTTGTATGCCTGAAGTTGTCCCAGAGGCTCCTTACACTATCTTCATATTTTTGGATTCTTTTATTTTATTTTATTTGCTCTTCTGTTTGGGTGTTTATTGCTCTCTCATATTCCAAATTGCTGATTTGATTCTTGGTGTCCTCTACTCTACTGTTGATTCCCTGTAAATTATCCTTCATTTCTGACTGGTCCTTTTTCGTGTTTTTGATGTTCTCACTAAGAACCTTAAAAGTCTCACTAAATTCCTTGAAATTCTCATTAAGTTCCTTGAGCATCCTTAAAACCATTGCTTTGAACTCTGTATCTAGTAGTTTGCTTGCTTCCATTTCATTTCATATCATTCTTTTTCTGGAGATTTCTCCTGTTCTTTCATTTGTGACATATTTCTTTGTCTCCACATTTTGGCTGCTTCCCTGTGTTTGTTTCCATGTATTAGGT